GGAGTCCCCCCAGCAGAGCACAGGCATTGTTGTGCCTTGATCATTGCTGACCGGCGTCTCCAAATGTTTTGACATGTCCAGCGACGGCGAGTCCCTTCTTCCCCGGTGTCTCTCCCACGGCCTGCCTGCCTGCATGAGCTGTGTGGGGACCCGTCCCTCTCCTCCATGGCTGCAGTGTTCCTTGGGACTGCCTGACCTGGTACCTGTGGGTGGGTGCTGCCTGGGGGTGGGGGCTACCACTGCCTCAGAGGGAAGCACCGGTTCCTCCCCTATCCCCTCCCCCCTGCAGCCCAGGGACCACTCTGCCCACCAGCAGCTCACCCTCCCCACCTTGCTGCTGGAGACACAGGTAAGAGATGGGTGTACATGACACAGGGGTTTACTTTGCCTTAAATTGTAGCGGTATTTTAAAAAACTCACTGCTTCAGTTTAGAGCTCCTGTTTCTTCTACACACGGGCATTGACTCCAGTGAGTCCTTGGATGATTAAAAAAACAATGAGATGTATATGGATAATGAGAACCTCTACTGATACTTTAGAATAAAATATTTTAAAGGACATAAAGCATCAAGGTCCATGGTGTAAATCAATCTTAAACTGGCTAGGGCTGGAAAGGAGTATCCTGCATTGTGCAAAGACAGCTTGAACCAGCTAGGCACAGAAGCCCTCACTGTACTACCAGCTACTAAACAATGTTGGTGTTTCTGGAAAAAGAATGCCAGTTTGTATAATTCTTCTTCAATAAACCCAGTACCACTTCACTGGGGTATTCTTAAGCCCTGATTTTGAAAAGATATTGGAATGCATCCAGCTCTCCAAATATGAGAGATAGGGGACCCAAGTGTTCAACATCACTATAGCCCTGATTCTACAAACACATCAGGGATCTGTGCACATACAAGCAGTCATATCTCATTCAGCTGGGCTACCCATATGAATGAGAACTACTTAGGTGAATGAGGTAGTCAAGTCAAAATTCACTGTTACCCAAATAACAGTGGCTTCAGATGTGCCAAGAAAAGACTAATCAACTTAAATCTGTGCTGCCTTTACCAGAGAAAATCCAGCCAAGGTTCATAGGGAAGTTCTTTGTCCATTTCTCCTTCTTGCAAACAGATCTAAAAGGTACATTTTTGCCCTACAAATGAGGCCTATCCACATGTCATTGTTGGTATCAGCGTATCAGAGTTCCCTGACTAACTTCAGAGGCAGAGTTAAGCCAACTACTTCTGTATGATATGATTCTGCTATAGAAGAAGCCAGCAGGAGGGAAATCAAACACTGTCCTTAACATTTTCCAGACTTTTTATTTTTATATTAATCTGATTAATGTTAACATGAGTTTAAAGACCCAGGGCTTTATTTATTAACAATCTTCATTTCCAATAAGCCCATGGAGGTGCAATCTCCCATTAACAGGGGAGACCTGCCAACTCCATTAATAGCAGATAAAGTTAGAAATAGAGGGAAGATCTGTTAGGACTCAGTAGGCTTCAGTAAAAAAAAAAAATCTCAATGTAGAAGCAGATTTACTGCCATGGGCCAGGAATTGGGAGCTTTACCACAATGCTAGACAGCACACTCTGCTCTTACATTCAGATTCGTACATGTGTAGGAGGCCAGAGGGTGGGGAATAGATTTTGCCAGAGCACCCTGTTTCCGTACTAATTACTAAATGCTGGGTTTTAACCTGAATGCAGGAACTATGTTCTGCACTGAAATAACAAGAGTTTGATTTAGGATGACTGTGATTCATACCCTTCAAGGTCAAGCTGAATCAGTGTATTTGGCTCACACAGCTATGAAAAATTCAAATATATAAAAGGAGAAACACTGATGAAACCGGCCTTTGCTATCAACCTGTAAGGAGCTATCTGAATCTTGGTCATTTTAGATGTCCTTAACTCTGGTCATTTTAGATGTCCTTAACTCTGACCAGGGCTTCTTAGAAGTTGACTGGTCACAAGCCCATCCTTGTTTCCAAAGGCTAAAGTGGCATAAAGAGACACTTACAAATGCATCAAAAACTTGTCTGTTAGAGTTTCTCTATTCAAGTGACTGCTGCAGTTCACCACAGGAATGGTGAACAATCATAAATGGGAGGGGAGGTATAACTGAGAAATCTTGTGCATAGAAATGTGGTCAACATTATGAAAGAGTTTGCGAACAGCAGGTTGCTTTGGCGAACTAATCTCAAAGGCTATCTCAGGCCACAAATACAAAAGAGGTGATTGGGAATGATGTAGGTTCCTGTGGGTGTGTTCACACAAGATGCTACTGCACGGTTGTTACTGTGAATTAATTTAGCACTTGTATCAATAAGTACTAAATAAATGCTCAGTAACCAGAGTTTCTGCACAGTAGTGCCAGTGAATGTCTTTTAGGTGATGCTACTTGCACAGTAGCCTAATAATACTGTGCAAAAGTGTATTAGCACTATCTGTCCTGTGATGCGTTACTGCACAGTAGTTTTTGGCTACTGCACAGTCAGCGTCTCATATAGATGCACTCTGTGTGTATCAAACAAAATACCTTATGGCAGGCAGTATCTGTTTACAAAGGTTCAGAAGTAGGGCCCAATTCAGCAAGTTATTTAAATATGTGCTTCACTGTAAGCATATGAATGGTTCTATTGACTCTAAAATTAGGCATGTCCTTAAGTACCTGATGAATTGAGGTCCTAGCCTTGGACCACCTGAATACAGACTGTCTGTCATATGGTCTTTTGTTTTACCATTCTGACAGTTGGAGGATTAGACTACTGGACAGACTACTCAGGGAAGTGGTGGATTCTTCAAACTATGCCTGACTGCCTTTTTACAAAGAAGGCTTTAGCAAAATACAAGTTACTGATCTCAATAGAGAGGTAACAGGGAGAAGTTCTCTCACCAGTGTTGCACAGAAAATCATGATAGTTCATTCTGGATGGAAAACCTACAAAAAACTAACTCTAGATCAGGATTGTGTTGCAAACACACTGACAGAAAGGGGTAGCAATCCTAGAAAAGAGTAGCAGAGATTACTACAGATATCAACATGGGGTGTGTTAGCTTTCCCTGCAGAGGGGTAGGACAGGCTGGGAATAATAATTCAGTGACACAGGAAAGAGAGAGGTTGAGTGGGGAAGCTAGATGAGGAGCTTGTATGGTCCCTGTCTGGCTCATGAGCAGTGAGTTCACTTGCAAACTGTGAAGGAGAAAATGGTAAATATGTCTTGATTTTTGTCAGTTTAATCCAGACCTTTCATATTTAAGATGATCTGCTAGCTGCTAAGGAAAAGAATAATTCATTGTCCTCATTTTAAATTTAAATGAAGAAAAGTTTACAAGATGGGAGTTTTTATAAATAGGAAGGCTATGAAATGAGGTTTAAAAAATCCTAAAATTTAAAACAGCTCATTCTCATTTACAGTCTTGTCAGTCTCCTGGGTAAATGCTGTATTAAGACATTTTTTTTAAAACTCTTATTATATGGTCAATAGACCACACCGGCTCCATTTATCCATTAACTATGTAATCATACACTTTTTCTTTAAAGTGTGTATTATTTATGCATCAGAGCAGAACAAGCCTCAGAGTGTAATCCTGGCTATGGGGCACATCCTGCACATTTTTATGAAAATTTGTAGGAATAAGTTAAGGCCTGAGCCCATGCCCACTGAAGTCAATGGAAAGACTCCAATTGACTGCAATGGACTTTGGATCAGGTGCTCAGAGAGCCTATTCAGCAGTCAGAATGGACATGGCAACAGCTCCACCTTCTCATTGTCTTTCAAACACTTGAGCATGAATTTTATTACCAAATGCCATGGAATTCTAGGAGCAACTGGGATTCTAGGAGTACACCAAAAACTGTGAGCCTCCATGACAAGGGTTGAGTGAGCTTCTACTTGAAGGGAATAGGCACATTCCCTGTCTTAGCCTCCAGACTTCTCCTTAACCTGCTTTGTTCCAATTAGACTTCAGTCAACCTCCCACCTAATTCCTGACCACCGGTAGGTGTTGGAAAACTGATAAACTGAACCAGCTGCACCCACAGATGGAAGGAGAAAATATTATTTGGGTAGGTTGAATGCATCTGTCAGCATAACTACAACTTCCATGGTGCTCTGCATGGTTAGCCTATTCTTCCTCAGCTGTGTGGAGCTAAACACGTATGGGGTGCTGGCCTGGCAGTATGCTGAGTGGTGCTATGGTACTGCTGCTGTCACCAGCCATTGCAAAATTAGTTTTGCGGGAGGCTATGCCCCCCCCTCCAACCCCAGTCTTCCACCGCCTATGGCTGCACCACTTGAAAAGGAGAGAGCACTGCATATCATGTTGATAGCGCTACAACCCACGCCACATAACATTCTCCTTGAGCAGTCCATATATACAATGAACAGAGGATCAGAAGTCCTGCTGTCTCAAACTGTCTTGCAGGACTAATTAACCCTCCTAACTCCCAGAAGAAAGCTTCATTATTACCCATTTTACATGAGTGAAAATTGACTCACATAGAAGGGAAGAAATTAAATGAAATTTAAAAATAATAAAATTTAAAACAGCTCACTCTCATTTGCAGTCTTGCCAAGCAGCAACCATTTGTTCCAAACCATGTATGTATCCCCTTCCAAGAAGACAGGACTCCAGTTTCATAGTTTAGAGTGGTGGATAACTGGCAATTGAAAAGAACTACTGCCCGCAGGTCACTGTGTTGGGTCATATTTGAATTATGTGAAAACAAGCATACATGTATTTTGAAATAATCCTAGAGCACAGAAAAGAAGGAATAGAGCCCAAAAATGGGAAAAGGAGGGACAGACAGGTGGGTTATCAACAGAACATGTCCTGCCACCCAGCTCAGAGATCTCAGATGTAGATGGTAACATCAACTATTGCAGTAAAACAGCAAGAGGCAGCTTATTTAAATGTCTCCCAACATCTGCAGAATTAAAACATTTTAACTAGCACCTAGTCAAAGATGAGCAATGGAGGCCAAGGGCCAAATACTTCTAATACCTCTGAGGCTGGGGACACTATCTGGAGCTGCTCAAGTAGAAAGTGTTTCAGTAATGGGAGGTGAAAGTCACAGAATCATGGAAAAGCAGAGAAGGTTTCCTTAGTCCTAATCAAAGACAGGAAGACCCTTCTGGGTAATAAGCATTTAAAGGATTTCTCTTGTTTCCAGGAGCTTCTACTATTCAGCACAGGAGTATTTGCGTACTTTTTTTCTCAAGACATTCCTTTTCCCACTTACCTTCTTTTCTCTTTCCTTTACTTTCATTTCCTCACTACTTCACTCCTTCCTTCTTTCTCTCTCAATCTTCAACAACTCACTAAAGTAATTATCTGAATAACAATAATGAACACAGAAGGCAACATTCTTGTTTCTAATCTCCTTATTGACTACATTAATAACGGAGAGTTCCCACTTATAACTAGGCCCTGAATTACATGGGTATGCAGTGTCAGCACTCTTGTACCCAGTGATCAGTTGTACTAAATGCTGTGGGCTATTCATGTCTGCAGGATCTGATCTGCTATCTGTCACTCACATTGATTTCCTTCTTATAAAAATAGTTTTTAAAATGAGTCCTGAAACTGCCCCTGCATGCCCGTTTCCCTTCATTTTCCTTGACCTACTTTTATTTCTGTTTATCACAATTGCTGATATTTTTATTAGAGGACAGGAATGATTTTGATGGTCTCCAGGCACTTTCTAACAGCTGGTGTTTTATCAATAATATCCACTGGCCACATTTGGCGAGTAAAGAAGTCTTTACTCAGGAAAGGCTCAGGGACAGGATTCTGAGGCTCCAGCCTTTCTAATCTCTTCAAAAAATGGTCCACCTGCCTAAAATAGCCTAACTTGCTTCTAGCCTAAATAAATGACAAATACAGATACAAGAACAAACCAAAAATAAAACAAGATGACAAAGACAACGGCTGTCTTGCCACAGGAAGTGTCTCTTCACCTTCTCTTGAGTAAGCCTCTCTCATTTCCCTGGTGTAATCTCCTCCATGCTTCTTGTCATGTTGAATGCAATCTACATCGTAGGCTCACTGGGGCAGGGTCTATGCATGTATGCACTATGAGGCACAGACTGCTGCTACGGAGCCATCTGCAAATACATTCATAATTAAATAATCATCACTAAGATGTTAAAAATGGAAAGGTGAGAAGATAGTGTAGTAGTGAGTAAAACAAAGCACAGATTTGGGTCATAAGGTAGTTAGGTACTAATCCTAGATCTGTACAAAATGAAGGCAATACTTTAAATTCTGCCTCCAAAGTGTGCACGTAGTTTGCAACGATTTACATAGAATCTCTGTGTGAGTATCTGAGGGGAGAAATTGGCCCTTTATATTTATTAAGGGCATTGGCATCCTAATAGCAAAGCACTATGGAAATGCAAAATTTTAGTCTCCAAAGGACACATTTGCTGCCTCTGCTTATAAGATGTTATGCATCTCAGAGGAAATATGAGTAAAATGTGATGTAGTAGTTGCTAAAGTAATTAAGTGCATCTTACTTAACAGAGTCCCAAAGGCTGTGCTAACTCAAAGACAGCCTCCTTTTTCACAGTAGTTCAGGTTTTTTTTAATGAATATGCATATCAGGCATATAAATGTTCTGTTAATCCTCTTAAAGGAAAGAAAAATAGGTTGACAAGTCACACATGCTCTAAACTCTTTATTTACAGGGAAAATGGTAATCTGTTTCTGCAGCATGAGTGGCAAAACACCATTAGAAGCAGTAAAGATTCTGATTTGGGAATTGGAAAATGGCAGTAAAGATAATGTTTTTAAATGTATCAAATGTAGTTTTATGTTAACTTCCAGAAAATTCATGGGTAAAAGGCAGCTCTTTCCTGCAGTAAAGCAGTTCAGCACTACCTAATCGGTCCAAATAGACAGTATTTTCTTATTCTAAGCAGCATCACACTACAGAGAGTGGGATCAAGAATTCTTTCACAGTGAACAGCATAACTCAGTTGTTTTACCACTTCTGGCCTTGTTTTGCAAGACTCAAGGTGATAGCCCAAGCACTGGCTGAATTTTCCCTTGGTAATTTTGTTCTATCTAAAAGTCCTGTTGTGGTGCCTGCCACTCAAACGGCCTGAGCAGGCAGCAGGGGCAGCCTGCAAGTCACAGCATTCCATAGTCAGGAGTCACATGGCCAGCAGGAGACTACCTGACTGGGGAAGAGGGCTCAGCTGCTAGCCATAAGACCAGGGTTGAGCAGGAAAGCCAGCAGCAGTTGCTGCAAGCAGCCAGAGGCAGAACTTTGCCCAGTTGGAGCTACTGCTCCAAAACACCCAGAGGACAGGGTAGGAACTATGGGGATGGCAGGCAGTTCCTGGTCCTGGGCATGACCTAAAACTACACCTGGCTGGATGGTGTGATGGGGGAGTTTTTGGCACAGCAGCTTCCAGGAAAAGCCACACCTGTGCCTCCCCAGTGAAGGGAGAGTATGGGATGCCAGAAAGTTCAGCCCCCACTGCCTTATGGGTTACCTCATGGAGGGGAAAGGCTAGGGGAGCACACCCCAACAGAAAAGCACAGGGTCCCAGGCCCACTGCATGGGACCTGAGGTAGGGTTCGGGTAAGTGGACAGATGCTTGAACAGCCATAGGCTGTTAGTGGTTTAAACCTGTAAGTCATCAGATGCCTGAGGAGAGGCCCCAGTGAAAGGGCAGAGTTGTAGGGACCTGGCAGCCGTGTAGCATAGGGCCTAAGATGGTCTGAAGGGCTACACAGGTGCTGAGTAGACTAACCGCACCTGGCAGCAGTGTAGAGTAGGTCCTGAAGAAGGGCTACACAGAAGCTGACCAGGATAGTTGGAGGAGAGGCCTCAGTGAGGGGCATGAGTTAAAGGCCCATGCACATCTGCGGATACTTGAGGCCTATTTTAAGCCAGAGGCCAGAGAGGCCCAGAAAAGGGCCAGGGGAGTAGCAGAACATTTGGGTGCCATCTGCGAGGCTTGGAACATGGTATAAGGGCAAGTTTGGAGCTCTGTAATACACCCTTGGCATTGGGCTTTAAAATGGGCAGCCTCTTGTTTTAAAAATAAACAATTTATTGTTTACATCAAGGTGTGGCAGGTGAGTGTAGGAAGGCAGATTGCCTAGACAGGGAGGTAGGCCAGCCTGGTGCCTGGCCCTGACAGTTACCCCATTATGGTCCCTGTTTCTTTCTTTATGGCATTTTCTTTCTGCCCCTAAACTGATGTGTATGTGACTTGTGTTGTTATAACTGCTGTCATTTTGTACCTCAGATACAATCATGCTTTGGTGGTTGGAAGTCAGATCCCTATATATACCATACAGAAGGTAACATCCTCCTCACAAACCACTTTTCCTCCAAATAATCTCTATAGTATATTTTACCTCTTCTTCATGTACAGCCACTAGTTTCATGTCAATGAAGGCTCCACACACAGAACACTGGAGAGAAGTTTGCCTTCCAAGAGATTCTAATTTTGCTAAGCAAAAAGAGGCAAAACTACAGTTTGCAAAAAGGTGTTAGCTAACCCTGACTTCACACAGATGATTTTCCCTAGCTTTAACAAGCCCTGTGTACCTGATAAAAAATTGCTGTGTAAACACTTAAAGGTGATGGAAGATGAGATGAGCCACAGATATCAAAGCAGACAAGTTGTCTATCCTTAACCAACCTCCACGAAAAGCAACATACATACTAGTAGGTAAGGAGAAAACTCCAACTTGACAGGTATTCTATGACGAATTCCTGCAGCTTGTCTCAAAAGGCAAATTCTTATATTTTCAAATATTCTCCACAAAGGTATACATTTCTATGTCTGTGGCTAACTAAAAACTATATCACCGTGAGGGAAGAGTGACTATTTCAACAGCAGATTATTCGAGGGATCCTCTGACAATCCCCAACTCTGTTGTAGATTATGTCTCCTTAGGCTTATTTCTGGGAACAAGCCATTGCAATCACAATCAACCAGGGAGAGAAATTCACTGAACAGCTCTGAAGCTTTGTTTTTCCAGCAGGCTTTTTCTGTACTGAAGTTTAAATGTAAACACGTCACCATAGCTGAGATATTTCAAGATGATTTACTTTAGAAAGACAGAGAGAAGCTGATAATATATATATGTATTTCCCCAGTTGCCACCACTCCTCTTCCTGATGTGCAACTGCTCCTAATAAACTTTCATGGTATATGTAAAATGCTCTAGTGCAGTGACAAATTTCTGCTGGAATTTGAGATAGCTATTACTCTGAACAAGACATCTCACACAGGTGCCCAGTTGCTATTGTAAAATCAGTAAGCATTTAATTGAAACAAATGACTATAATAATAGTACATTATCCCTGCAGGTTTATAGCTACAACAGTTTTAATTATTGAGTTAAGAGTCAAACTAATTTATCCTTTAAAGTAACAGCCACATCTTTGGTTCCACTGATCATCCTATTATGAATATGAGGTGAGCAGTAAGGAAGGACTTAAAAAGGAAGCAACTTATTTTTGTAGGGGCTGCATCTATCATGTGCTACAATGGACTCTCCTCCCAGCTGTAGGGGCCAATCTTGCAAGCTGAAAGACATTCAGTGCACATAAATGAGTTTGAAAATGGCTAAAACTGGTTTGAGATAAACCTGGTTGTATGTAATATTAGACTTAACTGATTTGGGTCAAACTGGTTTATGCAATGTCTGTCCCAGACCCCTTCCTGTTTTAAGTTAAACTAGACTCCCCCAGCATCCTGGCATACTCTCTGGGCTGGGTGGGGCTCTCTGCTCCACAACAGAGCTGGTCCCTCCCCTCTGCTCCCTGGCTGGAGCTCCGGCAGACACTGCAGGCTACTTCCCTCCCCGTCCTCATCACACCCTGATAAGCAAGAATTCTCCACTCCCCTCTACCTTGCTGAGAGATGTCTGTGTATTAGCTAGAAGACCACATGCTGGCTATGGTCCCTGCTGTAGCAGACGGGACACAGGCAGAATCAACAGGTAGCTGGTCATATCCCTCTGCTGTTTTCTTAAAGGGGTGATAAACACTGAGTTAGGTGTGATAAACACTGTGTCATTAATTCCCTGCTGGGCTGGTCGGAGTAGGGGGGGAACCCCTCCCTAACAAGGCCATCCTGCCAGGGCCTGGTCATGCCCCCTTCAGTTCAACACTGCGGAAGGGAATGGAGGGTTGGTCTAGTGCCCCCCGGCTTCAGGCCTGAGCCACTGCAGGCATGTGCCTGCATGTTTGGGATGTCTGTGATTTAGCCTAGCCAGGTTAGACTAACCTGAAATAATTGAATCATTTCAGGCTCTGGTTTTTTGAATGTCCATCCCTAGCCCTGGAGTCTGTACTGTACCTCAGATTCGGAAGAATGGACCTTCCTTCTGAGCCCCTAGTGCAGGAGTTGTCAACCGGGAATAAGCATACCCCTAGGGGTACTTAGAAAGGTCACAGGGAGTATGCATGGGTGGGCAGAGACAAAGTGTGCCCTGGGGCGCTGCTTCTCTCCCACTGCATTTCCGCTCTTTGCCTCTTACCCAGGGGAGGGGGAGGGGCGCTGCAGCAGCAAGCTGCAGCAGACTTGCAGGGCTCTCTTCCCTTTGGTGGTGGCTGGCAGGCATGTTCTAGCACCCCCTGGCTTCTGGCTTGAGCCACTGCATGCATGGGGCTGCATTTCCTGAATCAAATGTCTGTTCATTTCCTTATCAGTTCAATCTCTGCATTTTAGACAACCTGGGGAGAAGTGGCTGTAGGGGAAGGTGGTGGTAGCAGCAGCAGCAGCTGGATTAGACCTAAGAATGGTTGTTCAAGGCTGCGGCTTCAAAATGTTGCATACCACTGGTTTTGACCAAAGTTAAGGTAGATAGGAAGATACACTGATTCACCACTCTTGATATATTTGGACTTCCTTTGACAAAACAAGAATGCCTCCTGTGTACCAAGCTGTATTAACTCTAACTTGAGCTAGACCATGAAATTAAGAAAACGCATTCAATTTTGATTTTGAAGTTCTCAGTAATGTAGAATCAACCTTAGATTTTGGCAAACTGTTCCAGTACTTAATTGCCAGTGGTGGCAAAAATCTGCACCTTGTTTTTAGTCTGGATTAGCCTAGCTTCAATTTCCACCCATTGGTTATTGCTGTTCCTTTATCTACTGATTGAAGAACCTTCTCATAAACTTTCTGTTTTCCATGTATGCACTTACGAACTGTGATTAAATAGCCCTTCAATTGCTTCTTTGATAAATTCACTAGATTTAGCCCCTGAAGTTTTGCACTGGGCAGACTTCCCATTTTAAATCATTCTTGTGATCTTTCTCTGAACACTCTCCAATTTATCATTATCTTTCTTGAACTGTGGGTATTTGTCTTGGACATATTGGTCTAGAAGCAGTTGCCTAAGAGCCTTATGCAGAGTTAATATAAGCTCCTAACTCCTGCTTGATATTTCTTTATTCATACATCCAAGTATTTCACGTACCTTTTGGTCCAGAACATTGCAATGGGAGCTCACATTCACCTGGCTATCTACTAGGATCTCTAAACCATTTTTGGAGTCACCCCTTCTCAAGATAAATACCTCTTTTCTATAAGTGTGGCCTATATTATTTGTTTCTAGTGTGTGACTTTACATAATATGAATATAAACACTTAGGGCTAAATACTATCACATCCTGTGGCAAAAATAGAATCACCCTGCAGGTGGAAGGCCAGAAATAAAGTGGAAGAGTAAGATGTAGTCTAATAGTCTAACTTAAGAGTGAAGAGTGAAGAGTACTCACCTCACTCTGGGAGAAGGACCCCCCAGAACTCCTTCACTCAACATTTTCAGGGTGTTGTATCCATAAGACCATAAAACTAGAAATTATCCAGGGGCCTTTCCAACCTTCCTCTTGAAGTTGGCCCATTGTACCTTGCATTTGATACTCATTAGATAAAACTGATGTGCAGCACTGGCAATCTCTCTGCCTTAGCTTAGAACCCAAGGACCCCACCTATCCGGGGCCACGTGTATCTCACTGAATCACACACACTCTGGCTTCTCCTCTGCCTCCTAGCCCCACTTATCTCCCTCTCTTGGTTGCCTACGCGCCACCTTCAAGAGGAGGGTTACAGAAGGATTCAGTGGTTAGACCACTGTGATGGGAGGCAGGAGATACAAACACCCTGTGGGTGAGGTGGGCCTAGAACTTGGTTCTCCAGCTCCCTTAGCAGATGCCCTGATCACTGAGTAATAAAAGGCTGACTAATAAGTGTTAGTTATGGGTGTTGGGCAGCTACAAATTGGGACTTACCAGGCTTTATACACGTATCTGGGGGATCCTATTTTGCCATGCAGCTGTGCACCAGAGTTGTCTGAATTTGCACAACCAGAGCTCAATCACAAACTCTGCATAAGTGCGCAAAACTACAGCTACACAGCTGTGTAGATGCCACTTAAGGCCATAAAGTGAAAAAGGATTTACTCCTTAGTGTTTGTTTGTGAGCAGCCCACCCAGTGATCCAGAACTCTTGTATCCAAGACTTTCCCTCTGTTTTTTACCCATCCTCCATTCCTTGTGTCATTGGTAAACTCTTATTGGTAATTATTTTATGCTCTCTTCCAGGTCACTATTAAAATATTAAATAGACTATGGCCAAGAATTGATACCTGAGGGACTCCCTAGAAATACAGGCCATCACTAGTGATTCCTCATTTAATTTATTTTTTAATGCACTTAACCTGCACCACATTGATTTGTATATTGTTTTAGTTCTCATTCAAAGTACTTTTTGGTACCATGTCATGCTTCATAGCTATCTAAATATATTATATTAACTCTCTGTTCTTTATCACTCAAACTTGTAATATTATCAAAAATATATTAAGTTACTTGGGCAAGACATTTTTTCCCTAACTCCCTGTTGACTGGCATTAATAATATTATCCTTCTTGAATTCTTTATTAACTAAGGCCAGAATCTTCCATCCTATTACTTAACCTAGGATTGATATCAAGCTGACAGGCTTATAATTACCTCAGCTGTTCTGTTTCCTTTTTAAAATATTTGTACAACTTTAACTCTCTTCCAGTCATCTAGAACTTCCACAGTGTTCTAAGACTTACTGAAAATAACATTTCACATGGCTCCTAAACCAGATCTTGTAAGACTCCTGAATGGAAGTTTTCTAGACCTGCAGATTTAAAATCTTCTAATTTTAACAGTTACCTGTGTTCTCCCTATATTTGAGAAGATGAAGTTTTTAAGGTTTACTTAAAAAGTTAATTGTCTTAAACCCTGACATTTTTTTCTCTCAAAGGTTCCCTTACCTCACATGTGTCTATTTTTGCATCATCACCTGTAATGTTTTGAATGTCTACTCTGGTTTCTTCTGATTTTGCAGAACTTGGGGTGGTTCTTAGAGGATGTATAGAGGTACTTTTATGCCTTAATTGACTGAGTGATAGTTGGACATTTTAACATAAAGCTCCTTTTTCTGAAATACTGTTTAGTCACAGACTCATATAGGTGTTAACAAAAGCAAGCTTTTTGCTCATCTCTGATCATTTCACTAGTTTTCTAATCACTTCAGTCTTTAAAAAATCAATAGGATCTGATAATTTTTTATATTAAAAGGAGGGGGGGAGATAAATAAACATTGAATACTCCAACAAAATGCTTCCACATATTATTTTGCCCAAAGGAAAGAAGCAAAAAGGCACATCACATTTTTTCCTTTTGCAGGTCACCTTTAAATCAGGATATGTAAAAGTACTGTATTTTGCAAGCAGTGTCAAACAAAACAACATTTTTAATATACCATAGAGCATGGGCCTCCAAAACACTTTAGTATGTATGCAAGTTACTCATGTGAATACCCCCACTGACTGGAAACCAACTACTGATGTGCTTAAAACATCTGCAGAACCCAGCCCTTAATAAACTTATGGAAAGATTAATTTAATGGCCTATATTTCTACCAGTGAGCAGTGTAATAATTCCATAGCCTTTTGGGAATTACTTCACCTTCCAGCAGAGTGCTTTAATTCAGAAGGGAATCTGGTTTCATGTATAATGATATGGGAACAAGTTTACAGGTATGGGAGGCATATATTTATACATGCTTATTTTTTCCATATTTGAATATCCTTTGACCAAGTAAATATCTCTGATAACCAGAATCACAGATTTTAAGTAACTTATGAAAGATACCCCGAATTTTCTAACATAAAACGGTCTCCATAGAAATCATAATGCAGCTTTGTGTCGTGATCCCAAGGATAAAAGCAATTATATATGAAGAATGTAGGAGATATACGTGTGAGATTACATCATTAGTGCTGTATAAGACCTAAGTACTTGGGCAAAACATTGTCTATGGTCTTTATTGTGGACTTCAGTTTGCAGTCCTTATAAAGACTTCAGTAGGAGCTTTACTTGAGTATAAACTGTAACTTCTGTTCAAGAAAAGCAATGGAAAACAGGATGGAGACAACATTTAACAATTGGAAGACATCTTTCATTTATATGCTGACTTCTTTCTGCGCTGTAAGGGCATCACCAAGAGGGATCTTCTGGCTGTTGGGAGAGCTAAATAATATTTTTTCATATTACACAAACATGCCATGTGTAAATTTGCCGATATGAATATTGTTGTTGACTAAAGTAGCAGAACAATCCACAGTGATACCAAATCTGATAAATGTCAACACCCAGGAAGGAACCTTACTCTTTTTAATCAGGAAACCTTTGGGGCAAGCAGAGTTCTTGCATAAACTACATTATGATTTTATCTTTCATAAAACATCTTTCTGAGGATTCAAAAGAAATAAAAGTATCTAGTCTACTGGTCCCACTTGTTCCACCAGTGCCAATGCAAACCAGGACATAGACAAATGTTCACTAGGAGAGGGTTTCACAAGAAGGTGGGGAGCCGCTGCTGCCCCAGCCTGTGCAGCAGCTGATATGCTCTAACTCCATGATGGGCTGCAGACTTCTAGTAATCCACATAGAATGC